AAACCCCCAATTCGGTAAAGAATTAATCCAAATTCCCTCGTAACTGCAAAATTCGTCAAACCCTATATTTTAAATTTATTCCCATAAACATCTATATGACTATATAATACCAAATCTTCAACTATAAGCAAATTCATCTCACATTCTCATGTTACTTAAGACAATAATATCTAGCTTAGACAAATTCTATCATACACCCAGATGTTTGTTGGTGTTTAGTTCTGGGTGGTTAGATTTCAGTCCCCTCTTAATTGTTGGTGCGGGATTCGAACACGGGTCCTCCCTACCAAGTATAGTCTCAATCACCACTGCACCAACGTCAATTGGTTATAAATCTATAACATATCATCAAATGTGACATCAAAACATCACACTATGACACAAGGCCAAAATCATAATCTAACATAAATATTAACATGTACTCCAGGAAAAACTTGTATTGAAACATTTTAGACAAGAAATACACAAGATTTAAAGGATTATAATTTACAAAAATTGGCCATTAAATCCTTTCGGAAAACAGTTTATTAGCATACATTTTCATGCAATTGGCCACAATTACAATAATAATTTGATTTTTACTGATTTCTTTTGTTTGGAATTTAACCAGAGGATCATAGATTATTTGAAGTTTTTCATCATTGGGTATAAACTATAAAATGCGTAGTCCAACTAAACGGATCTTAAAAAATACTACTCGGCCCATCAAAGGTGTCGTGAAGAAAAAACTCAATTCAGGCCCATTTTATTACAAGTACATTTTTTTTAAAGGAAGAATTGTAAATAAGGGTAATGTTATATACGTTAGGGCTATATATAAGCATTTAATACACTCTTGAAAATAATATAAAATTAGGAATTCATGATAAAAACACGCGTAAGTCAGTGTTAATATTTTTATGATTTCCTAACTTTACACAATTTTCTAGTGCGTATTTAATGCTTATATGTAGCCCTAAGGGCTATGTATAACATTTTCCTTGAAAAAAAAAACGAGTCAAAGGTTGTATTATTATTTGCAAGGAAAATGTTATACAGAGCCCTTAGGGCTACATATAAGCATTAAATACGTTAATATTACTACAACCTTTCGATTATACATTAATATTACCAACCGATTTTTAGGGGACGTCGGGGTAACAGGGGTGGGTCGACGGCGATGGGTGATATGGACGGTGATCGATCGATTTTTAGGGGAGAGGGGAGTTGCGTGAAGGCGAGAGGGAGAGGGAATGGTGGCAAGATGGTGGTTAAGGTGGTGGTAGGTTTTTTTTTAATAATAATAATATAAATAGTAATTATTTTTATTTTATATATTTTAAAATTTAAAAAATTTTAATAAATTTTTAAAAATCAAATTAAATTGACAAACCAATAAAACAACAACACTTGGCATGTAACTTGTAAAAACATGTTACCAACCGGTTTCTGCCTGTTAAAAATAAGCACCCTCTAAAGGTTATAATATTAATGTATAATCGAAAGGTGGTATTATTAAAAAAGAACCGGTCAAAGGTTGTACAACGCGTTTCTGGTGCGGCTGGTCGCACGGTGCGACAAGGTGTCATATCAGTAACCCTTCTAGTAACCCCTCAAGTAACCCCACTTAAGTAACCCCTCTAGTAACCCCCCAGACAAAGTAACCCCTGACTGACTTAGTAACCCCTGACCAAGTAACCCCTGACTGACTTGGTAACCCCTAGTAACCCCCGAGCTAGTACCCCAATTAAGTAACCCCTGACCGACCTAGTAACCCCTAACTTAGTAACCCCAAGTAACCCCTAACCTTGTAACCCCTAACCGACCTAGTAACCCCTAACCTTGTAACCCCAAGTAACCCCTAACCGGCCTAGTAACCCTTAGTAACCCCCTACCTAGTAACCCCTAACCGACCTAGTAACCCCAACCTAGTAACTCCTAACCAACCTAGTAACCCGTGACCAACCTAGTAACCATTAACCCACACCCAAACCCACCGCAACCACCACCAACACCAACCTTTCTCAACTGTCGTCCTCAAAACCTTAAACTCCATTACACCACCACCAACTCCCATACCACTAACAACCATTTAAATTGTTAAAAAAAAAAAATCGAACAAATACCTCAAAATAAATATTGGCTTCGAATTTCACTTGAAATATGGCTAAAAAGGCCAAATTCAGCCACCAAAAATCTAAATCTAGAGTTTTCATGGCTGAATTTGGCCTTAAAACCTCTAGCTTGTTTTTCGGCGATGAAGTACGAGGAGCTTCCTTACCCCCTACCACCGCTGCTCCATTTAACTTGTTTAATTTGAGTGGGCTAACTAGAGAAGATGAAAATAGGGGAGAGAAAGAGGAGAGATAGAAGAGAGTTCTTAAAAAGAGTGTATTTAGGTGGGAAGAAAAAAACAGGAAAGAGAATGAGAGATAGAGAAGAGAGAGAGAAAAAAAAATTATATTGCGGTTGGCCGTACGGTGCGGCTAGCCGCATATGAAATTTTGTAAAGGTTGTATTATTAGTTGTAATTATCCCTTTTTTAAAAAGATTGATTCATAATAATAAATCATACGATATCTATAAAGAGATTAAAATCTAATAAACCAATGATAATTGAATCAAATAAAAATATCCTTTCAGCATAGCTACGATCGTTGTTGCGAATCATACATTCTTTCTACTCTCTTTCATATCGCTATAATTTACAACCTTCTTCGACTAGGGGGTCTATCGACTTGATGTAGCCGTGAAGAAAAATTTCCATCTGATTCATCTAATTGTAATCGAATGACTAACCTCTTCTTCGATCCCGTACAAATGTTAACTCATGAATTGAAACAACTTGCACCATACTAAACTCAAAAAACAAAAACAAAAACAAAGTTAGAACAAAGCCCACCAAAGAGGCACTTACTACATTCAAACCCACTATATGGGTACTTACTACCTTCAAAGATTGCATATTTATTGAATTTAATAACAAAAACGTAAAGAAACTTAAGGGAAAGGGTCAAAAATAGCCAAATTTCCGGAGAAATTTGACTATTTTCGGCCTATGAAACGGTCTATTTTGTTACATTTGTAGACTTGTAGTAACTAAAAATTTCAGAACATCTCGGATTCGGATTACGAAATCAGTACAAGAATTTCTTTCTTACAAAATTATGAAGCGCTAACGGATAAACTCAAAAAAATATGTCATATCACGAAGCTAGTTTGTGCCGAATTGTTATACTCCCTCTATTCCAATATATAATTCCTGTATGTGTTTTCATAGTATTTAAGAAATAGAAGGAGAAAGTGGATGATACATTAATAAAAGTTAAAAAACAATTATAAGCAAAAGTTAGATAGGGAAAGTAGTAAAAAGTACAATACATGTGCAAAATTCAAAGGTAACTTAGGAAGCCCGAAAAATAATTGTCTTTGTATAATATCCAAAACTAGAAACATTAACAATATTTTGGGTCTCCAAAATAGGAAAACATGAACTATATTATGGGACAAAGGGAGTATTTTTTTATTGAGGAAAGGGACAAATGGACTATCTATGTATTTGTCTTAGGCTTTCCTTACTAGCTAGTTCTCGTTGGATTTTGTTAAATCTGTTTTCATTATCGTTAAGGAAAAATTTAATCTAATAATCCCACCTTTAGTCGGTTTTCCCTAAACAATCACACCTTTTGAAATTCCAGAAGCAATTCCACCTTTGACCACCATCTTCCATTAACGATCCCACTCACCTACAACTTGTTAAATAAGTTAATTTTTTTTTTTCTTTTCTAACTAAATTTCTTCACAAGCCACCAGTCCAACCACCATGGCCACCCCAACACTCACTCTTTACCGCCACCCCAGCACTCGCTCTTTACCGCCACCCCCACCCACCAAGCCACCCGAAAACCCTACCCGAAGCTCTCCAACCATGCTGGAAAATCTTAAAACCACCCCCAAAACCCAACCCCCACCTCGAAAACTCCACCCACAGCCCCCTGAAAGCCCTACCCAGCCTTGAAACTCAATCCTCAGCCCCGAAAAACTCCACCCCAGCCCCGAAATTCCACCCACAGCCTCGAAAAGGCCACCCATCGTATCTCAATTCGATTTTTGGTTTGAAATTAGATGCAAATTATGATTTCAATCAACTGAAAAATCGAATTGAAAGGGAATTGATGAATTCAGAGGAGAGAGAAACATAACAAAGAGAAGAGAGAAAGAACAAGAGAAGGAGAAAGAGGGGTTCTAGTGCTCGTGCGATATGGGCTGCGGTTTGGGTTGGTTTTTCGGGGAAGCTAGGCGGTTGCGGCACTAGTTGCGGGTGCTGATATTCGGGTTTCAGAGGTTTGGTTCCGACGCCTTGGAGGGGTAGGTTGGGTTGCTGGGGAAAGCAAGAGCGGGGATGGGGAGGGGACGCGGTGGCTGGGGTTGGGGGTTTTGTTTTTTTTTTTTTAAATAAAAAAATTAAATTTAACCTATTAAAGTCTGATACGTGTCTTACAACCTAACCGGCTATCAAAACAATCCAACCGGTTAGGGATTGTTAATGGAAGATAGGGGTCAAAGGTGGGATTGTTTTTGGAATTTCAAAAGGTGGGATTATTAGATTACATTTTTTCTATCGTTAATTGTCAATTGAAGATGTCGTTTGACTTTCATAATGAAATATAAAGTCCTTTAGGTTTTTTTTTTTTTTTTTTTGTTATTTTTAGAGCATCTTGTATTAATGCTAAAAAAAGTAAAAAAAAAAAAATATAGGAAAAAAAAATTAGTTAAACTAATAATCTCAATTTTTATTGATCCGTTGAAAAATAATTTTTTTTTAATAATCTCAAAATATTCTCACTTTTTACCATTATTTTGTCAAAACAAATGTGAAGGGAATTACATTTAATTATATATATTTGAGAATTAATGCATTGACATGTGTGTTAAGTTTGACCATGTCAATTATTTATACAAGTATATATTATGTACTCATAGAATATTAACAAGTTTAGAATATTCAAAAGAGCATTATTCAAATATTCAATACCATATTACATATTTACATTTACAATAAATTATTACATGTAGTCATGCACCTTTTTCTTCACTTTTTGCACTACATGAAAATGATGAGATCACACAAATTCAACTACCTCAGCTGAAAACACTGTAAATGCTGAGCTCAATTGTCCAACGCCCAAAACCCAGAAAATTCATTTCTTTTTTCTTAGTACAGCTTCCCAATTTCCCAGAAAACAATCCCACATTTCCAATTTTAGGATTTCCCAAATTCCCAATTCATTTCCACATTGATTGATCCCCACATCATCACTGACTTATTCTCAATTCTCGACTTTCGTGCACGCAATCTTCAATTATTTTATTTACAGAAAGCTTTCAATTTTACAGAAATCTCCCAAAAAAAATCGCCATTGTTGAAATTTTCGCCGCGTGGAGGAACCCTAGATTGGTGGGGTTAGATAACCTATGTAAGTTTTTGGTTGAATTTTGAATTAAAGCAAGATATAGTAGCTCTGTTATTGTTGAAGAAATCTACCTAATTTTTATCAAAATGCTGACTTATTAGTGTTTTTTATTGATCTGGGTAGTTATAATTATATAAATCTTGAACTGGGTTATCAAAATTTTGTGTGGATTATGCATGATTGAAAAGAATTATATATATAGAATTGATTGATCTTGTTGGATTATAATGGTGGGAAATGCTGAAGCTGAGAATCATAATGGGTATCCAAATGGGTCGGTTAATGGAGTATTAGAGGAGAAATTGGATGAGCTTCGATGTTTTCTAGGTAAAGCAGAGGGTGATCCTTTGAGAATTGTTGGAGTTGGGGCTGGTGCTTGGGGGAGTGTGTTTGTGGCATTGCTGCAAGATAGTTATGGTCAGTTTCGAGACAAGGTTTCGATTAGGATATGGAGGAGACCGGGTAGGGTAGTCGATCGAGCGACTGCTGAACATCTGTTTGAAGTGATTAATTCAAGGGAGAATGTGCTGAGGAGGCTAATTAGGAGGTGTTCATACTTGAAGTATGTAGAAGCTAGGTTAGGGGATCGTACATTGTATGCTGATGAGATTTTGAAAGACGGGTTTTGCTTGAACATGGTTGACACCCCTATTTGTCCTTTGAAAGTTGTAACAAACTTGCAAGAGGCTGTTTGGGATGCTGATGTTGTGATTAATGGTTTGCCATCAACTGAGACTCGGGAGGTTTTTGAAGAGATTAGTCGGTTTTGGAAGGAAAGGATTACTCCACCAGTCATTATTTCTTTGGCAAAGGGTATCGAGGCTGAATTGGAGCCAGTGCCGCGGATTGTGACTCCTACTCAAATGATTCACCGAGCTTGTAAGATTTTTTATTTCCCATCACACTCTTATTAGAATTTAATTGTTACTTCATCTTAGTTCTTCAGCTGAACAGAACACATGAACCTATCTAGTTGTAATAGAATTTCTAATTAGAATATAGAAAACTGCTAAGTTTCCTTCAAGCATAAATTTTATGAGAGCCACCTGTTCTGTTGTCTTTTCGAACATTTGTTAATTGACATCTAAATCACAGTTCCAGTTTTTGCTTACCATGATCTCTAAAGTCCCATTTATGATTTATGTCAGCCGGAGTTCCTTTGGAAAACATTCTCTATCTGGGAGGGCCAAATATTGCTGCAGAGATTTATAACAAAGAATATGCTAATGCCAGAATTTGTGGAGCTGAGAAATGGAGAAAGCCTCTGGCCAAGTTTCTGAGACAGCCACATTTTATTGTGTGGGATAATGGTGACCTTGTCACACATGAAGTTATGGGAGGTTTGAAGAATGTCTATGCCATTGGAGCTGGTAAGTAACTTTACTGCGCCTCCTTGATGTTTATGATTTGAAGTAATTCCGTGCACCATTGGTTTGAGCTACATTGTGATTCTCCGGTAAGTGTAGTTAATTCAGTTAAATATATGTGCTGTCTCAATATGACATAACCCTAATAAGCATACAGCTGATCAAATAGAGTTTAGACCGGTAGGGAATAATGCTGATTATGTTTTTGTGGAAGTGAGTATACCAATATTGGACATATTATTTGTTTTCTATAAGAAGGCTTCATTTAATTAATAAATTTAGTGTTTTATATTATTTTTATTTCAATATTAATTTCAAAACTTTAATCCAGAAAAGTTTAGGGGTCGGCTAACCGCTAATATGAACTGTCATTTGCAACTGTCTGTGAAAATTGGAGCAGGAAAAATGAGTTAAGAAAGTAAACAAAGTAGAGCACGATTGTGAAAGTAGGGCAAGGTAGACTAGATAAAACATAAGGAGTTAAAGAAGGCGGGTGACAAATTAGACTAAAAAAAGTTGGGTATGAAAATTAAACCTGAAACATATTATAAGTGGAAGGGATCAAATGAAAAGGTTTGAAAAAGAAAGTGAGTAAAGTAAATATGGTGTGAGCTTGAAAAGTTAGTACTTCGTATAATATAAGGATTTAAGTGAATGAAAAGAAAAAGAAACTAAAAATCAATGTTTTTTAAATGTCATGTCTGCCTTACCCAATGCCATATTCTCTCCTTCTACTCTGTCTTACCCAATGCCATATTTTCTTCATTACCCAGTGAACTCAGATTGCTCACTATAACCTTGCTCCAAATTTTCATCGGCCTTCACCCTACACAATCCCATCATTTTGCCACTATCCAGCCTCCTAAGTGGTGCATCACTCAATCTCTATCTTACATGACCAAATCACCTTAATCAATTCTCCCTCATCTGATACTTAATAAATGTAACCTCTACTTTCTTCCTAATTGCCTCATTCCTTTGCCAATCCTTCCTACTATTACCACACATCCATCGCAATATATGCTTCACAACCCAAGATTCTATATCATATATAATTCAAGGTTGAATTGCCATACGGTAGAACTTTCCCTACAACCTTCCTACTTTGATTCTTTGATCAACTTCTCCATTCAATTCTCCATCATTTTGAATAATTGATCCTAGATGGTGAAAGAAATCGGAATTTTGCGCAATAATACCATCCAAGGAGATTTCCCAGTATTTCTCCAATAGTTTTGTTTCATAAGTTTGGACTACTTCCGTAGTTAATATTCCCAGCATCCGAGATCTGTACACTCCTCCTTTTCCTTTGCTCAATTACTCTCTTCCATAATTTTCATAGTATGACTTATTAATTTGATCATTAATAGTTTGCACAAACTTGGACATTGCCTTTGTTCTTATACAAAGGGATTAAGGTACTTTTCCTCCTTTATAAAGTTATCTCATTACTTCTCCAAATCTTGTTGATGAATGTTGTTAGCAATTCGATTCTCCTCTCTCCCATACATCTCCAAACCTTGATATGTTTTCTTTCCTATCTTATTCAATGCCATTTTGACTTCTCCATTTAAAATTCTCCGCATAAACTTTTGATTAGCCTTATTAATAGAGATACTTATATCTCCAATTTCTAGTAAGACTTCCATCTATCCTATGTCTCCTTATCTCCAACCAGAGCTCTTTCGTCAACATCCATCACACACATGACCTTTCCATTATCAGGTGTTTTCCTATCGCTCATGTGAACAAGTATATAACTATCTTATTCTTCTTTTGTAACAAGCTTGGATATAGGTCCCAATACACCTTGACTCTTGCATCCTATACGACCTTTTTTGCTTCCATCTTGTACACCATTTTTCATTTATTTATTTATTTTTTTTTTTTATAAGAAAGCTAGCTTAAAATTTTAGCATTGAGATTATGTTTTATTAATTAATTACTGTGGTTAGGACACATGTCTAGCTTCTTCTAGACAATTTATATATCAAAAGCTTACATCGAGCCAAGTAAATTGTCAATTAGACACCATTGCACAAAATACACACTTCATTTGTGGGGTTATTCTTCATATGTACAGGCTCTTACATAAAGCAAGCCTTATAAGTTATAACAGAGCATGACATAGGAGGTGCTCTTCTGTCAAAAGATACACACATCTCAATGGGTCCCTTAATATTTACAATGTTGATGTTAAGCATCTCATTAATAATTGCAGCAAACTTCCAGTGGATTGGAGGCTTTCTTTGGCTTGAGAAATCGTTGAACTTCCAAGAAGTTTGTTTTGTAGAATTTCTAGTTAGCTTGACAGTTCCTACTTCCTACGGTTTTCAGGAATAGTCATTTGCATGATTGTGTTATTTGTGTACATGTTTTGGGCCCATTTTTCTTTGTTGTACATAAATATGAATCCAACCTTTGTTGTCAAGTGACATAGCTATCATTCTTTTTTCCTTTCTCTTGCAAAGCACATTTTCACAAAATACACTATTCTTCCTATCATGAGCAATAACTTATGTGATTCTAATTTCTTACTCTCTAGCATGAGCATGTGGGAGTGATGATAATATCGGGAAAGACTGCCATCATGTTAGATTGACTTGGATGGGACATATATCACTTCCAATATAGTGGTATTTCCACAACACTACATACCCAACTTCTCTTTCCTTTTGTGATTTCTCCTTGTAGCCTGATGTACCTTTAAGGCTTTTACGCATAGTTGAGAATGTTAAAACCAACATTTTCCTTTCAAATGTTGGCTAACTATACATTTAATTTGTAACTGACCTACATTGTCCTGACTTCAATCTGAGAACTATGTTGATGTATTTTCATGGGATTTATACAGGAATGGTAGCAGCTTTAACAAATGAAAGTGCCACCAGTAAATCTGTATATTTTGCACACTGCACATCAGAGATGATATTCATCACACACCTTTTGGCAGAAGAGCCAGAGAAACTTGCAGGTCCTTTGCTGGCTGATACATATGTTACCCTGTTGAAAGGTCGTAATGCATGGTATGGCCAAATGTTGGCTAAGGGTGCTCTGAGCCTTGATATGGGTGACAGCATCAAGGGCAAGGGTATGATACAGGTAAGGAGAAGTCTTTACAAATCTAAATAGTTTAGATATAGGTCACCTGAGACTTGTTCTTCAAATCTTGTGTTTTTTGGGCTGAATATCATGCAGACAGCAGACTTTATTCTCTCTTGCATGCTGGTCTAGTTCTATGTAGCCTTTATTTAAATGGTTTAATTGGATACTTTTTTTGTGACTTTGATGTCTCTTTTGGTGGTTGGCTTGGTTGCCATGAGATTGTCGACGACTCTTGATGTTTGATTGGATCTGTGTATTTATGAAATGGGCATTAAAAAAAGGAGACTATTTTGACTAGTCTGGAATGTGTAGTGAAGAGGAATAGTCGATTAGACAGTGCTCTACATATTGCAATATGTTAGTTTAGGCAAACTTTGGGGGTGGGTGGTTTCGGTGAGCTTCTGAAATCGAGTGTACCTGCATTATTATTCTTAAGAAGAGTCTGAGAAGGCTTCAGAAATTTTAAGTCCACATAATGTCATTAAGCTAATTTTTTATAAAATTTATTTTTAATATGGGCCATTGGTCTATGATCAAACTCCCTGTCTTAGGTTGGTCAATGGTAAGATACTTAGATGGCTGTGGCATCAGGTCTTTACATAGATGAGTATTTTTGTTGCTTGGTGCTTTAGCCAGGTCTTTATATTCATGTTTTATGTTTACACTATTTCTTCTTGTTCTTGCTTTTTATTTGCTCTATGCTTTAAGCCATACCCATCAATAGTAATAAATAATTTTCCTATTTCCTGCAGGGTGTCTCAGCTGTGAAAGCATTTTATGAATTACTTGGCCAACCCTCCATCAGTGTTTTACATCCTGAAGAAAAGAAGCCTGTTGCTCCCGTTGAACTTTGTCCCATCTTAAAGAAACTTTATAGCATACTTATAACTAGGTAAGTATCTAACTCCTATTTGCTCCATGATTCTAAATCTCAAATGCAGTCTCAAAAACCAATTTCGCAGGCCATGCAAGTGGTATGCGGCTTCTGTGGCCTAATATTTGGTTGTGGAAAACTCAAAATCCTTTATAGTACCATGATATGCGGTCACAATACGGTGATCCAGCCGTAGTTTAATAACATGATTTGATGTTGTTGCTTACACTTTCTCAGCAGCTGGTCCTTAATTTGAATTTCTTATATGTTCAGGGACTTCCCTTCTCAAGCTATACTTCAAGCACTGAGAGACGAAACAATGCATGATCCCCGAGAACGCATCGAGATGGCACAGTCCCATGCATTTTACATACCCTCACTTCTTGGGCAGTAAGAATAGCACCTGACTTCTGATGTAGCCATTATGACACGTTTTGTGAATGTGCAACGAATCACCTTATAGAGCTCGTGTGATATCATTCCAGGATATCTTGTTGAAGAAATCAGGGTTGATTAAGTATTAGTATACATCACTTATTGGCCGTGTTTAACTGTGTTTAGATTGCAATGATGTAATAGACAATTGTGAAGTTTGTAGTCATATCTCATATGTAGCAACTGTGCAGAGGGTTCTCCCTTCAAACTGTCAATAACTAGTTAAGTTAGTAGCCCTTGTAATAGATGATCATCTATATATTAGTTCATTTATTTATTTGTTGGTAAAATTTGTGTATTGTAGCTGAGCAAACTGTCTAAGGAATGTTGTTTTGTGTGGTTTAGACACTCCACTGAGTCCTGTAAGCCTTATGGGTAGGTTTTATAGTTTTGATGGAGTTATCCAACATTTTGTATGGGTGAACATTATTCTTCTATTGGTGTTTTTAATTTTAAAGCACAGTACATGCTCTTGGTTTTTTTTTTTTTTTTTTTTTTTTTTTTTTTCAATGAAGCATATAAACAAATTTGGAGAGTTATGGTTAAAAGTTGACAGAAAAAAGAAAAAAACAAAAAAAACAACATTTAAGCCTTGTTTGGCAAATGACGGTCGGCTGTTGGCTGGTTCACTTGGCTTGTTTGACCAACTGGAATGTTTGGCTGTTTATAATGTTTTGAAATTGGTTGTTTAAGCTGACTGTTTATAAAAGTGTTTGGTATATTAATTGTAGATTGTTGGCTGTTTATTAGATAATTTGTGGGCCAACAAACCAAAAGCCAACAAAAAAGCTACTCAAAGCAGTTTTTTCATTTTGGCTTAAAAGCCAGCTTTTTCGCTGACTAAAAAGCCAATTACCAAACACATTTTTAGGCTATTTGACCATCTAAAAAAGCCAAAAACCAAAAGCTAACCAAAAAGCCATTAAAAAGCCAATTACCAAACATGACCTTAAATTAATATAAAGATTTTTGACAAAGAGAGAAAGCTAAAATGTTCCATAAAAAATAATAATTATAGATAAGAAAAGAGAACACATCATTACAGACAGAGAATCAATGTCATAAATGAACTAGAATAGTTCTTAAAATTGTATTAGAATGAAATACTAGCGCATTGTAGCGCCTTACTGTGATGGAAATGGCTGAACCATTACAGGGGCAGCACGATCATTTTGCAAGTTTTGAAAATTTGAAATAAAATATCAGTGGATGCCAATATGTCAAGCCTGTTATGACAACTCACATCCCATTGCTTATTTGACAAGGTTAAACTTTCTCAGGAACATGTATCAATGGTGAAACTTTATTTGGAACATGTTACAATAGACTAATCGAGTAAAACAATGGAGTTGTTAGTCTTGTCTGCTTCTCTCTCTCTCATATTGTAATGAATTTGGTAAAGTGGAGTTGTTAAGTAACCAGCACATGGAATTTAAGCGGCTAATTAGCCGTTACATAATTCACTACTCCCTCCGTTTCAATTTGTTAGTCTCATATATTATTTTGGGCGTTACAAAAAGATATACCCATATTAAATGTATTCCACTTTTAACTTAGTTTTTATTTCCTATTTTATTCATATTAAATTTTAATTAGTTAGATTAATTGATTGTGAATTAATGACATGACTCTAAGTAAAGAAATTACTCCCTTAATTTATGCAAATATGACTAAAACTTTCCTAAAAAATAAAAAAAAATTAAATAAGGCAAAACTATGTATAAATTGTTTTTAAATTTAATGTTAGATTCCAAATATTATCCTTTTCTTATTTTATATGATTGATTCCATATGAGGTAATGGGACTATCATATTGAAACGGAGGGAGTATTACGTTATGTTTTACCCTCTCTTTTACCCAATTTTTTCCCTTTCCTTGCCTAATGCCCTAATGCACTTGTTAGGCACATAAGCCATGCATCACAATTATGCATTTATACTTCCTCGCTTACTACTATTGTACGGAGTATTTGCTTTTATTGTTGTTGATGCATTTTATCTAAAGAGGTTCTCATTTTATGTACCCGCTTCTACTTTATTCTATTTTTGATAAAGACATTTAAATATTTTACTCTTACTTTATCATTCACCTTACTCCGTTATAAGGAGAAAGATCTTACATAACCACCCTTGTACTCCTTATTTACAAGCTTACAAAGTTACAAGTACAAAAATGATAACCGGATCCCAAAACCGGTTACTGTGCGTAGTATTCGGAGCCCAAACCGGTTACCATGCACGGTAACCGGTTTTGGGTTTTGGTTACCACACACGGTAATTGATTTTGGGCTCTGGTGAAGTAGTAAGGGTACGATTGTCCATTCACACCAAATGTTGACGGCGATGATCATTTTTATTGGCAGTGTTTAACAATTCACTATTTGATATACTATCCTCTTACTTTTTTCATTCACCTTACTCTGTAAGGAGGAGAAGGATCTTACATAACCACCCTTATACTCCTTATTTACAATTTTAAAGAGTTACATGTATGATTCATTATCAAAATCGTTATTCGCCACTGTGTTACAATCCCAAATATTTTCCCCCCTTTTCACAAGTCACGTACTACCAAATACCAATACGGGGGTGGAACCTAACCATCCAAAACTGATCCCCGAATCCGTATTAGCCCAAAGGGTGAACCGGGTATAACCCAAAAAAAAAAAAAAAAAAAAAAAAAAAAAAAAAAAAAAAAAAAAAAAAAAAAAACCAATACGGGGGTGGAACCGTGGAAGTGGAGGAGACGTTGAAAGACGGAAAAGAAGAAAGATGTCGTTAGTCGATTACGCATCTTCCGACGGCGAAGAAGAACAAGAAGACGCACCCATCAAACAACCTCAACTTCATCCTCAACCTTCCACCTCTGATGACGCTCCTTCTCAACCTAAACCCCAGTAATTCTTCTCTCTCTCTATTCCCTTTTTAATTTCAGAATTTCCTATGTCTTTGTCACTAGGGTTTCCTTTTTTCTGCTCAATTTTGTTTTATTTTTGTGTGCTATTGTTGTTCAATTGTTTGTTTGTACTATAGTTTGTGTGGATTATGCTTTTGTTGGATAATTATTCTATTTGATGCAATTTATTGCATAAAGTTTTGTTTTTGGTGAAGAAATTTGTACTGGGTATTGTTGTAGTTGATGATTTCTTTTGATTTTTTTGGATGCTCAATTTTGTTTGATTTTTGTGTGCTATTGTTGTTCAATTTTTTGTAAAACTATTGTTGTTGGAGTTGCCAATTTTGAGACTTTAACTCTGTAAGAATACGGAAATGTGATATGTTTCATTTATCGGGTCTTTATAAATGATACACTAACAAATTGGGAGTTTTGGGAGGGTTTTAGCTTTTAAGGCTCGGTTTTCGAAAAGTTCTTTAGTTTTTTGGATGCTTGGTTTTGTCAATGATTTCTTTTGAATTATATAATGTTTAAAGACAATTATTTCTGTTATTGGAGTTGCCAATGATGAGGCTTAACTGAATAAGAATGTGGAATGTAATGTTTAACTTATGGGGGTCTTTATCAATGATAACAAATTAGGATTTTCATGAATGTTTTAGCTTTGAAGTTTCTCACTTTTTGGAGACTTCTTTAGGTTTTTTGATGATTAGTGTTGTTAAAAAGTTTAACTTATGGTTAGTTTGTTTAATTGTAGTTGTTATAAGCCATATTATCTCTTAATGAGTATGATTGGAAGATGAGGTTTTGATTTCTTGCTGTGAATATTCTAGATTTTTATTGCGCAACTAATTTACAATTACTTTGAGGGAAGAGTTGTTATTCAGTTTCACAAAATCCTTTTTTTGATCCTAGAACTGGAATTACTAGAGTACACTATGGAATCTTTCGTTGAAATGAAGTCATATTTGTGAATAGTTGAGATACTATAAACACATCTTCTGGTTTGCATAAACTTTCCTGGCCTAGTATTGCTATTTGCTATTGTAATCTGCAACTATGTCACTTCTTTATGCTAAGTATAAAGCTGTGTAATGTCTGGCTTAGTAGTTCAAACATGTTCCTCTTGATAAAGAGAGTTGTTCTAAGTAGTAGGAGCTCATCTGTATCTGAAATAGATATGTTATTTTGTTTCCTTTTGTCATTGGGTGCAATCTTTTATTACAGTTCTTAGGGTTCTATTTTTTTTTTTGAAAGAATCCTAGGGTTCTATTGGATAGTAGATACTTTGTAGATAACTTTGTCAAGAGCTTTTAGTTGGTAATTGTATTCCCCAATCGAGCGAGCTTATGAAATTATTAGTGTTGTTGACTTATTACTCCATCAATTGATGTGATATGAGAGTTTCTTGACCATCCCAAAGCTATATTTTGCAGATCAATCAAACCATCGTCTCATCAACCATCAAAAGATGTCTCACCTTCACCTATTGGGAATCTTCCGGATGCTTCATTGCTCTTAAGTTCTCCTATCTCATCTCAGCAAACTGGTAGTGATCACTCTTCTCGAGTTGCTGCTGCTATGGCTGAAAATGCATCACGCAAGAGAGAAGCGAACGGGTCAACTTCTTCAAATATCCGTGGAAAAATTCCAAGAGGGAATCTGCCACACACAAAGGATATTCCAGATACTAGCAGTGGATTGTTGATGCCTCCCCAGCTTCGTGGCAGGTGAGTTTTGTAGTGAAAATTTCTGGCTTATCATTACTTTTTTTTTTTTCTTCTTCTTTGTTGGCAAGGTTACCAAGTTAATATAAGAACACAGTGTAGTGCTTTTTTTTTTTTTTTTCTTCTTCCCTCCAGGTGAAGCGCACTTCAGTCAATGTTTTTAGTTATTTATATTGTACTCCTCACTTCAAAGAGGCACACCAAAGTGCACCCAAGGTGTGCCTAGGTGCAGCAGGACCTTTATCGCTTTAGTGAACCTTGAGCTTTTTTTATACATTGGTTTATATACATAGAGAGGAGTTTAGGGGAAGAGAAAGGATGATGAGAATTTTATATTACTTGTTTTATTGTGTTAGGACTGTTAGCCCTGGTTAGTGTCCCGCTTCTCTAAAGTTGGGATTGTTGATTAGCATCTAAGCCTTAGGAAAGGGGTAGTCTAGTGAATGCATACTTAGTCGTCAAAATCAAGTTAGAGACAGCGATAACAAGAGGTGGTAGAAGGGATTTAGTCTATATGTAGAGGTATGTAGGGAAAGAGAAACCAGATGGAAATTGATATGAGATTTATCTTTCCTTTATTTTAAACTTTGCTTAGCCTTGGTTAGTATCCAGCCACTCTTAAAGCTGGGTTTGCAAAAACAGTAGTTGGTGATTTGATTACATTTAACATTACAATCATCTATTAAACTTCCCCAAATTCACTTCTTCCTCAATTCTATATTTCTGCCTTTTGTTGTATAAGAAATTACGCCAAGTTTGTAGGGTGATATAGATTAGTGATTTGTAGCTCTTGCACGTAATCTATTCCCTATTTACATGTCAATGACTTTAACCAACATAGGATTTTAGGCAATTTCACTCCATTTAGTTATGTGATTTTCGTTTTCTATTTTTTGAACTTGATCATCCATGTCCGGCTGAGGTACATACCCATCTAATCAAGTGTTTGACTCAGCTATATTGCAAAAAATCTTCATGGTTTTGGCCCAAAATGAAGAGTCAAGGTGTCCTTCCCATGTAGCTTGTAGTTGGGTATTTCTTGCAATTTTAGGTAGTTGGTAGTGAGATTTATTTATTTTATTTAGTGAATAATGGTTTTTGTGAAGTTAGTTAAAGACTATGTTGTTTTGACTTTCCATTCTTCCATTTACACTCAACACTTCGACAAGGCTATGGGTATGTAATCCATACCCAACATAAGAAGAAGTTAAAAAGAAGAAGTAAATAATCTCAAGTGTCCGACAAGGTTATTAATGAAAAGTCAAACTGTCGAAGTCAAGGGTATTAATGTAAATGTTTGTTTTCTTCTAATTTGTTTAAATGCAGAGTTCCTTCACTATGGATCCTTGTGTTTGAATGCGTCATGCGTCATTAAGTTAATATAGCAAGAAGCACCAACCATGTGAAGTCTATTTAGCGTTTTTTACTTTTAGGTTTTTGTTTATAGAAGATGATCAGGGGAAGGAAAAATATCTGATAAGGTGTAAATGTATATCTTAGTCGAACTACTAAGATACAATTGAATTTTTTTAGTAATTATGAGAGAAGGGAAGAGGCTTAGGGAATCTGAGTAACTCATTATTTATTCGTTAACTATAAACATTGCAAACTAAACAGGGGAGTGACAATAATTGAGTGAGTTTCCCATCTCCGATTCCCACAATTTCATCCTCAAACTTGCATTTTGCCCAACACTTTGTTAGTGACTCAAGGTTTATAGGACAACTTCAGTCACCCTTACCAAAGAGGTAATGGTGGAGATAGTGCAGTTGCTTGGCTTTGTAAGTATGTCATAAAATGGGATGGTATGTCATTAAGTATATATTCTACTCATAATTGAAAGACATTGCTGATATCTATAGTAGATGAATAATAGTTGATCATTTTTGAATGGAGTGCAATATTTCATAGAATGGAACTTTTGAGCTGTAAGGGACTGGTGCTTTAGGTGTCTTACACTACTACATTAGCATGAGTGTCAAATTGTGAATGATAGCTCATATGTCTCATACTTTAAGGTCATCTTCCAGTTATAAGAAGCCGAATTATGGGGTTATTTTAACGCATATGTTGGCAAAAATAATAAAATGAAAAATGCCATGCTATCAATAAAACTTGAATCTGGAAATATTTACCCAATTCTTGTATACAGCTGTAAATTATACTCATGAACAAATTTTTCTCGCAGTTATTTAGGCTGTTTAGGGGTGAGCTGCGAATGTGGTCTACACACGAGCAAATAGTTTCCCTGTGATGATCCTTTGATAGGTTGATCATTGGATGAACATGAAGACAAGATGAACTAGTCCTTAGATGGTAGAAACTGCTTGTAATTTCTGCTTGTTATAGTTATTATGTTCATCTGTCAAAAAATAAATATTTTAGTTGTCTATCCAATAGTATTAACTTGATTGAAACCAGCATATTGGCTCCCTATTTCATTTTTACGTAGGAGGATTGAAAGAGTAAAACTTTATTTATTGTGTTTGAAAGCCTTTGAACCATGAGACATTAGGATAAATACGTAACTTTTGCACATTGCCTTTTGAAGTAGTTAAGCGCTGTTAGTTATACTAAATGGCAAATGCTATTGCAATTGTTATGTTATGGTGTATATAATTGTTCTGTTTTCTTGCACTGGGATTCTTTCGGGGGAATGCTTTTTCTTAATTTCTTTACTACAGTAATTTCATCGAAAGTTTGCACATAAGTCGTTGCTGAGTGTTTGATTGAAATTTTGCAGGAGCAATGTTGTCACAGAAGATATCAACAAGCTTTTTGTTAGAAGAAACTCTCAAGGAAAGACGTAAGCTTTATGGAGAGTTTATGTCGTCATGCCATAGAAAGATCCAAGCTTTCGATGTTTAAGGGATTATCACGCCATATTTTCGTCATATCAAGGTCTGTCCCTTATTGTTGTCTGCAATAATCATAGATTCATAGGTCATCTCTTCTCCCGTTGTAAGCTGACTTTTATTTGCTTGATTGCTTCTGATGAAGATACAGTTTGTACCATAGCCATGTATTTTCTAGGTCTGGTCAATGATACAACAGATTTTTGTAGATTTAGTACACTGTATTCTTCCCCTGCTCATTGTTAATTGTCGTCTGTTTAGGCTAATATTATGCATAATTTTTGCTTGATGTACTTCTGTATAAGTCATGACATGTCCTAACTTGTTAATGCTCCATTGCTTTGTAAATAATCCATCTTTGTGGGATGAAGGGGGCATTTGGTTGCTACCGAAAAAAGGGGCATTTCACTATAGGTCATTGAATGAATTGAGATGAAAATTTTAAAACGCATTTACCTATCAGTTTCCATTATTCAAAATTTTAAGTCTTTTGTCGTGCTACAAGGGAGTGTCCTATTTCTTAGTTATGGGTAATGTTAAGGTGACTTGAGAAAGTTGAAACAACAATATCAGGAATTCAGACAACAATATCAGGAATTCAGAGCCTTAATGCTAATCATTTCACTTCTCTACTTTTCTTCCAGTTGCATTTTCTGGTCTGTTTTACATTCTATCCTCACAATGCCTTCATTCCTTATTTTTATCTTTAGATAATATTCACTCGCACATTCATCTCAAATTATGCACTTTGGCTATTCTCATCTTCCTAATTTGATCCTTTGGAGATGTCCAACATCTTCAACCCCTATGGCCATGTTGATCTTAATGGCTATCACAATCGATAGATCATTTTTTATTTTTATTTATAACCTTGAAGGTCTAATGCAATTACACATATCCCGATTAACGCTCTCCATTTAGACCACCCTTTTTTTTTTTTTTTTTGGAAAATTGACCACTTGGAGCCTGTTTTGATCCGATAATTTTCATTTCAGTTTAGATCAATTCAGCTCTAATAAATTCAGTTCATCTCTAATCAGTTCAGCTCCTAATTTCCTTCTCTTATAAAATATTCAGTTCAATCGAGTTGAGTCAATCAGAACAAGCCTTGGTCATAAGCGTGTGAATTTTATTATTTTTACTAATTAAAACTTGTTTTTAGTGATTCTCTATTACTCCCGATTTTTAAATAATTCACATGGTTGACTTTTTTCCACTACATACACTAATTTTGACCATTATTTTTAACGAACGTATAGATTTTTTTTTCCTTTCTAAATCATGAAATATATTGTTGAAAAGTTACTAATTTAATGTTTTATAATACTAGCTTTTAAATTTTTTGTTTTAACTAATATTGAGTCATATAAATTGCATTGACATATATCTGTCAAGTTTGATTGTGTGAATTATTTGGAAATGTAGTGATTGCATTTGTTCTTTGAACTTACTGGTTTTATCTAACATTTAATGTACTTTTATTGAACCAATATTATTTTTTCTAAAATAAAATTATTTTTAGGAAACTTTGTCATTTACTATCTTTAAAAAGCATAATTTTGATTTTAATTACTTTGTTTAAATTCTATTTATATTTTACTACCTTTAAAATGCCCAAAATATTGATTATGCTACCACTGACTGTTAGGGTTCCGTAAGTGATACCTCATTTTGGTTTTGTGTGTGAAGAAACGTCTCGATATATTTTAGTTTCTAGACCTGCAAAACTAATACCAGATGAATCCCGTTGTGCGGTGCACGATTTGTCTTTTTCTTTTTTTCTTTCTTTTTTTTAAAAAAAAAAAAAAAAAGTATTTTACATATTTATATGATAAATTATGTAATTTATTTGTTTTTAATTTTTCCTTAATTTTTATTATAATTAAAATAAAGTATCTTTTTCTTGATATTTAGATAAAGTTTTCGATAAAGCTTTGATGAAGGAAATTCTTTTTTGATTCAATTTTATGTATTTGATAATTTAGATTTCATTTGTAGGTGTTGTATGACTTTTTATATTAATGAATTGATTTGTTTTTTTTTAAAAAAAAAATCAATAAAAAAGATAATGTTCTATTTTAATAATTAATTTAAAATATCAATTTTATTTTAGTATTAATTGAACATGATATTCATAACTTTCAATTTAAAAGTTAAGAAAAAGGGACATTTGATATGGGTCCTAAAAAAGAGGAAAAAAAGATACTTGAAGTTGATTATTTTACCCTGTCTAACTGGAAATGGAAGTTTTAATGGCATTTGGTAGGGGTCATATGATCATTTGATATGGGTCATACTCACAAGAAGGGAATGTTTATTAAGATCATCAGTATTTATCATTCAATACAAACCCCCCAAAATACTGGCAAATTTATCTTCTTTACTTGAAGAATGCTCACACAATCAATACAAAGGAAGCTGAAACAAAAAATAGAAAAAATATATTGTGTTGTCTGATGCTCCACTTTCTAGAACTTCTGGATCCAATATAACACAATCTGTAAGAATGGGAAGTTCTTGTTCAATTTCATGTTACTGCAAATCGTGCTCAATTGTACCTCTTGGAATATTATGCCTGTGCCTTGGATTGAGAAGGGTCTTTCTTGCTTGTTGTAGCTCGCGTATGACTGCACTTATTGTCATTCGATCCCTTGGCAATTGATTTGAGCATGCCACTCCAATCTTTACAATAACCATTATGCATTCCTGTTGTTTTTTAAGCATTTCTTGGGTTCTTAATCCTCTACTACTATCGACTTCTTCTATTCCGCACTCTGTAATGGCCGTGTCAACAATCTGCAACACTTGGTCAGCCAATGCTGCCTTTGCAAACGTATGGAGGTTGAATTCTTCCTTGAACATATCGTCTGTGGGTCTCTTTCTTGTTATAAGCTCAAGCAACAAGATTCCGTAACTGTAGATATCAGCTTCAGCGGATACTTCACCTCCCAAGCCATACTCTGAAGACAAATCAGGTATCAAAGTCAAGACTGTACAAGTATATTGTATGAAAAGATATAATTTACGATAAATTTTACCTGGAGCAGCATACCTAACAGTTCCTCTAACTCCAATCGAACTGCTTTGATTTGGATGTAAGGGTTGAGCAACAATCTTCGCTAACCCAAAATCAGATACATGTGCGACCATATCATGATCAAGTAATATATTGCTTGGTTTAAGGTCGCAATGTACGATTGAGTTTCCACATTCATGGTGGAGATAGTTCAGTGCATGAGCCACATCAATTGCTATATTTACCCTTTGGAGAAGGCTCATGTTTCCATCTTCATGTAACCATCTATCAAGACTTCCATTGGGCATGAATTCATAGACAAGAGCTTTGAAATCATTTCTCTTGAAGTCTGTACTTGAGCAAGCAGTCATTATTCTCACCAAATTACGATGTCGAATATTCCGTAATGCTTCACACTCTGCCATGAAACTCTTTGAACCACCTCGTTGTTGCAAATTGAGTACTTTTACAGCAACCGTCTTTCCATCGAGGATTCCCTTAAACACAGACCCAAAAGTACCGGAACCAATCAGACTTCCCGGAGAAAATCCGTCAGTTGCTTTGAGTAGCTTGTCATAAGATACTTTCAAGAATGATTCCTTCTCTAAAGCATTTGCTGAATTTGATTTTCTTTTTCTGTTATGACTTATCATGTATAACCAGATGCATGTTGCCATGGCTATCACCCCAACAAGTGCACAACCTGTTGGAATTATTGTCGACGTGAGAACACGAGACATTCTTCTTTTCTTCTTATCTTTCTTCTCACATCTTGGTAGATGAAGCTCATGAATTCCTCCACAAAGTCCACTGTTTCCAACGAGAGATTGCACTTGCATTCGAAAAAACTCCTTTAGTTGGAACGCTTCCCTTAAAATTATTATAAGATAAGTTTAGGCTGTATATCATGGGAAATGAAGAGAGATATTCTGGAATAGGGCCTGAAAGGTTGTTATGGGAAAGATCAACATTCAAAAGACCTTTCAAATAGGAAAATGATGGAGGAATCAAACCTTGGAAGAAATTATGATCCATATACACTTGTTGAAGATTGGGTAAGCTGTTAAAGAAATTTGGAATTTCAGCAGAAAAACAATTATTGTTCACACCGAGAACTTCCAAATTTTTTTGGTTGCTAATCTCTATAGGTAAAGACCCTTCCAAGCGATTTTGACTCAACCATAACATGATAAAATTAGTGTTTGTAAAGAGCTCTTTGGACAATTTATTAGAGGATAAATCCAAATATAACAAGTATGAGCAATTACCAAGTGTGGGAGGTATTTTTCCTTGCAAGTTGTTTTCATATAAAGAAAGTTTGGTTAAATGTGATGAATTTCCAAAGGAATTGGGAATTTCACCTGTTAGTTTGTTGGAGTGTAAGTTTAGACTCTCTAGCTTTTGAAGGTTACCAAAATCGTGAGGGATGGAGCCTTTGAGGTTGCTCGATGGCATCACAATGTACCAAAGGTTGACGAGGTTACCAATACCTATTGGAATTTCTCCGGTTATAGGGTTTGTTCCAAGCCCAAGAACAATCAAATTGTTTGAAAGATTGGCTACAGCTTTCGGTATTGTTCCTGTGAAGCTATTTATTTGTATGTCTAGGATATTTAGTTTGGTACAATTAACTAGGGTACTAATAAAGTTGATGTCTCCTACAAAATTATTATTGCCAATGTTTAAGGTTCTAAGGTTAGAAAGGCGCCCTAAATGAAGTGGCATGTTTCCTGTGAAGTTGTTATCATCTAACTGAATGTCAAGAAGATTATATGTGAGATTTGGTAAAGAGTTTGGTATTAACCTTGTCAAATTATTATGATAAAGGTTTAGAGATTGTAAACGAGGAAGTGTGAAGGCGATATCTGATGGAATACTTCCTTGTAAACGGTTGCAAGATAAGTCCAAGTATATAAGGGAAGAGAGGTTGAAGATTGAAGTAGGAATCATACCATTGAAATCGTTGGACCCAACATCGAGCTTTTGTAGACTACTTATCCATCCTAATTCCTTCGGAAGCTTACCTTGTAGTTGATTACTAGACAAATCTAACTGTGTTAGGGATGATGAGAGGTTAGCAATGGATTGGGGAATCACACCTGATAGTTTATTTAATGACAAATTCAGGTAAGACAGATTTGTCATCCTATAAACTTTCTCAGGAATAGTTCCTGTAAAAGAATTGGAGGTTCCAGACAAAATTTCTAAGGACAACAAGCTGTCTATGATCTCGAATATCGGTCCACTAAAATTGTTATAATGGACAGAAAGTTTTTTGAGGTGAGACAATGCTTTTAATCCCATTGGAAGTCTCCCTTGTAACTTGTTGTAGCCTACAAAAAGAACTTGCAGGTTACTGCAACTCGCTATGCTACCCGGGATTTCCCCAATCAGGCTGTTGTTGTAGAGGTTTAGTATCTGAAGTCTGAACAAACGCCCGATCTCAGGAGGGATTAGGCCGCCTAACCTGGCATTGTTGTTAAGAGAAATCTTTCTCAGGAAGCTGAGGTTTCCAATGAAGGGAGATATTGTACCTGATATACCCCTCGCCTTGAGGTCTAGCTCAGTGACCCTGTTATGTTTGTGCCCACAAATGACACCCTCCCAAAAACAATGGTGAGAAGTGTGATTCCATGAGCTTAAAGCACCATCAGGACTACGATCGATAAGTTTGCTCTTGATGGCCGACAATCCCGTATAATCGGTTTCGTTACCAACAGCATCAGCACTAGCATTAGCTAGTATAAGATATCGCATTGCAAATATAGCAAGAAACAGAGAAAGGGTTGCTAGTTGTATAAAAGAAAGTGGGTGGTAATAATGTGGTATGGCTTCATTTTTCATGTTTTCTGTTGTAAATTGTAATATTTGTGATATCAAGTTTTCATTCCAACTTTCTTTATATATACTATGTAACTTATATTTTCCTACATTATTTAAGGTTGACTGCTTCAGTAAAGTTTGTAACATTTATCAACGTCTTCCACTCATCATCATTTAAGGTTGATTGCTTCAGTAAAGTTTGTAATATTTGTGATATCAAGTTTTCATTCCAACTTATATTTACATAAATTTTTATATGTGACTAACCACATCATGAGATCGGGGTTACTTATAGGGGTTACTTATTTAGAGGTTACACTGTTGTTCTCGGGGGCTACTTATTCATGAGTTACTAGGTCGCTTAGGGTAACTCACTCACAGAAAATGCGCCAACCAATTGAGTAATTTAGAATAAGTAACCCATGACCGACTACATAACCCCTAAATAAGTAAACTCGCCTTAAGTAACCCCGATGAAAATGCGCTAACTCGCTGAATAACCCCAGAATAAGTAACCCTTGACTGATTGAATAACCCTTAAATAAAAAACCCCTACAAGTAATCCCTGAATAAGTAGACCCTATAACTAATTCTGACCACACGGTGTAGCCAGCACCCTTAAAAAAACACCAATTTATTTAAAGTTGTGCTTTACTAAAGTTTGTAATATTTGTCAAAGTCTTCCACTCATCATTTTTAATAGTTTAATTAACACATGAAAACTTTTCAAATTACTGTATATCTAATCTCTTTATTACTCGTAATATAGGTATTGGTTTATGATACATTTACTTTACTTTTACAAATTAAAAGAAGATTTTTCTTTTTTTTTAATAAAACTTTTTCATCTGCTTTAAGAAACTTTTTTTTATGAGAAGAGTAGGAAAATGAATGATGCACCGTCTAACACGGACACACGGTGAACATGATTTATTAATAGGTCCGGATAAGTATAGGTGTCAAAATCGAATCGACCAAAAAAAAAACTATCTGTTTTGAATGGTAGTCAATCCGATTTGATTTGAGAAAGATCCAAATCCGATGTGTAATCGAATTGAACTCAACCCGAATCCGAACTTGACCCGATTTGAACTTAACCAAACACCGATTTGATCCGACTTAAACTTAACTCGAATCTGATTTGACCCATCTGAACTCAAACCGAATCGATTTGATCCGACCCGAGCTCAACCCGATCCGAAATTGACCCGGCAAATAACCGATCTAATCCGATCTGTTTTGACCCGAATTGATATTAAGTCGACCCGATTTTTACTCGATTTGATTATTATCCGATCCGAATTTAACACAACTAACCATAATTAATTATTGACCTTTATTCAAGTTCTTATACTACTATATTTACTAATTATTAATAAGTTAACGTTTTTTACAACAAAGAAATAATATAATCCGGAGTAACAAGTTAACTTCATGTATATACCAATTATATAAAATAACTTTCTAAGCTTTATATTCGTCTGATTTAAAATTTGCTACAAATAATTAGTGATACTTGAACATTAAATCCTCTTATTTCAACTCGATAAAAAATATGATACATGAGTGACTTGATATTGACCCAATAATAAGGTAAAAACTCCATAATAACTCTAATTTAAAAATAACCTTATTTGGATATGAATTGGGTCAACTCAATTAAAATCTAGCCAAACACAGAAAGGAATTGAATTGAAATTGACCAATTAATGAATCAACGGATCAACCTTATCTTAATCAAACCAAACTTGATCGAACCGAAATTATCCTGACCTAAATTCATCCGACCCGAAATTATAACTCGGTTAAACCCGTTTGAACCCAATCGGAATTTAGCCGAACCAAACTGGAGTTGACCAGACTCATATCCGACCTGAACTCGATAAACAATGACCCAAATTTGATCCGACCCGAATTTGACCCAACCCGAATTAAAAGAATAATTTTGACCCGAACATATTCGACCTGAACAGACCCGACCCGAATAGACACGACCCAAACTTCATCCGGTTATCCGAATTGACACTACTACCGGTAAGGCCTTGTTTACTTTACCTTAACAAAAGTTCTGTTCAATAAAAATAAGTTCAGTTGAGTAAAAATAAGTAACTTTAATTTAAACAACAAATAAAACAGAAAATTAGTAAAATTAATTTCAGTTTAGCAAAAACAATTCCAAGTCAGTAAAAATAATTTCAGTTCAGCAAAAATAAGGTGAAGTAAACGAGGCCTAAGTCAACTTATATTTCGAGGGCTTTCAAATGGAGGGTTAGGTTGTGAGACAATAAAACTATGTCTCGCAAGGACAATCTAGACATTTCAGGCGTCATTTTAGAGTTGTCTTATTGAGCTGCTGTCAAATAGTACCATTGATGCTTCAGCGGTACAAAATACTCTCCAGTGCTATAAAATATAGCCTCAACGGTACTCGTTCAAATAAATTCAACTCAAATTTCAGTAGAACAATGCAAATATAGATTTAGAGGTCCCTATAAATTTTGTCCGTTTTGCTCGTGAACATATGTCTGAAAAGTATTAGTGGGCCCCACATCACCCTTTTCACTCTTCCTATCTCTCCTCTTTTCCTCTCTTCGTTGTACCTTTTTTTAATAGTTGTGAGACATTGCACCATCTCATCACACAACACTTCATTAATACTTCCATTATACATACAACTAGGATAGTGCCCGTGTATTTATTAATCAAAATACTAATACAATAGTCCTATAGAAAAAAAAAAAAAAAAGATAATTCAAATATTAATAAGGGCACATATATTTACTCTAACAAATTAATTATTATAAAATTATATTCATACGTAATAATGGACAATACGAAAATTAAGAAATATGATTTAAATAGTAAGTGTGGCTCGGACGATGTCCCGGGTTGCTAGTTTGTACTTGTTTAATTTGCTAATTAAATTTGACTGTTTAGATAGTAAGACTTAGCCTGTTGGTGTTGAATTTAAGTCTTGCTATAAACATTTTTTACTTGTTATACTCAATCATTACATAATGGAAACAAATAGTATAACAAGATACAATTTAACTTATCTAAGTTAATTAACTATAATTTTGTTGGATAAAAAAACACAATTAATAAATGGCTAAGATGGTAAGACTCTTAATTTAAGACTTGTTGACATGTGGCGCATATTGCTGACATGTCGAAGTTGAAAAAGATGACACGTGGAACATACTACCTCTGGTCCAAATTACTCACAACTCTGGGCTATTATTTGTGAGATAAAAAATATTCCAAAGTTGCGAGGAATTTGGACCAGTATTATGTTTTAGGAACGCTTTTTAATATATAAGTATAGAAGTATTTGCGTCAAAAAAAAAGTATAGAAGTATAGATATAGATATAGATTTATCTCATCATTTGCGTTGATTTAATTTTATTCCTTTTTTTTATAATGTTATTATATTTATAATCTATAGTAGTATTAAAACGCAAAGAAATACACATGGTGACGACATGTATCATTTTTATGTCATAATGAGATTTATGACATTGCGTCACGTAGATTATGACATGACAACGCATTATATAAGTACTTGAACCATATTTAAACTCTTACAAGTTACACCCCTTGAAATTTCCATATTTTATTACCATTATTGTCCCACTAAGAGTCTATTCTCATAGACTAAACTCAGCTGAACTGAACTGAAATGAATATTTTATAAAAGAAGAAAATTATGAGTTGAACTGAACTGAAGTGAACTGAATAAACGTATGAGAACAGGCCCTAAGTGGACAATAATTTCACATTGTTCACCATAAGTAAAATTTCCTTTTATTACTTTATAGTATTTCTTGCTTTTATTCCACAATAATGTCATTTTATTACTTAATTAAACATTCATTCAAAAAAATTTATACAAAGTTCGAGGCATCGCTCGGGCCACAAACTAGTTAGTGATTGAAAAATAAATGAATAATGCCCCACAAAACTATACGATGAGAATAGAGTAATTCATTTTCTATCTCTCGTAAAAGATGAACTGGAATTTTCTTGTCTTACATGCAATGTTTACCCGTTGCATTCATTAAATCTATAGATATAATAAACAATATTTGTTAATTACTAGCTTAGAAAGGAGGGCATTTGTGAATTACTACCCCTAAAAAAAGTTGTTAACTATATCCCTAATTGTGATAAATTGTACCGATTACTACCTAATTTAAGTAGATTTTCCGACTAATTAAGTCACTAATGGCGTCATTTGTCATCTTAATCCTAATTTAATCATTTTAATTCTAATTAATCCTAATTTAAAAATTAAAAAACCCTAGCCCCATTCTCCAAGGAGCACCCACCACAAACTGAACCCCCACCTTTTCGACGGCGACTCCCCTCCCTCATCGTGCACCACAAACCCACCTCCCTCCCTCGGTGAACACCATGAGCCTACCCCCCTTGCCGAACACCATGAATGCAAGAAAATGAGGTTTTAGGGATGGTTGCGGTTTTTCGTGGCTAAGGAAATGGTGGAGGGAAATTGAATTATAGGGGCTAGGGAAGGGAAATGGGCTATTATTGGGGGCTAAGCAAGGGATGGGGGTTGTTTTCAAGGTTTGGGGAAGGGAGGGAGTGACAATCGAGGGTTGTGGATAGGAAAAAAGACAGCTTTTGGGGGTTACAGGAAGGTGGAGGGCAGTTTCTATCGGGGGTTAATTGGGGAAGGGGAGGGGATGGGTTTCGTGGTCGAGGAAAGGTAAAGGGTGGATTTTCGGTAGTGGGGCTAAGGAAGGGGTAATTTCTGGTGGTGGGGATGGGTAAAGGGGCTGCCGGAGGTGGAGCAGCAGTGGTGTGAAGGTGGATAGATGGTGATTTAGGGTTTATTTAATTAATTAGGATTTAAAAGTCGCTAATTATAATTTGACCGGAAAATAATGTCATTAGTAAGCTTAAGTAACCGGAAAGGGGATAAGGTAGTAATCGGTACAATTAATCGATTTTAAGGGTAATAATTTACAATTTTTATTAAGGGTATCAATTGATCGATAAAGACCCTCTTTTTGTGGTAGTATTCACAAATTTTTCATACAATAATAACCTAATATTTTACCAACACGTACATTTATAT